TAAATTTCAGTTTGGTGAGTTATGGGCTCATTCACTCTGAGCCACTCAGTTTTTTCATATCGAATAAGACAGCACCTACTTTATAGAACCAAGATGAATCAAATATATTATGTACTTAGTAGGTCTATATTATAATATTAATATGCCTGTACTATTACAGTATAACAATTTGTTTAACATTAGTTCAGTTTCAATGTAGTTCTAAGTCAAATAAGGTATTAAGATTATTTGTGATAATTTCATATGATCGTTAAATATAGGATTATGGGGGTCAATTAAAATGAGTAAAATGTGAAGTTGTGGCCATATTCCAGACAAAATAGCTCTAGATTGTCTAGATGTAACATCAGATTGTACTAATTGTTTCTGTCTATTAGTCTGCTTTGGGTACCAGTGTTTTAGCAAAATAGACAATATTTACTAAAACAGGTCATTAAAAATGGCAAGCAGTGAAAATATCCCTTAATTCCATTCCCATATGAGACACTAAAATATGATATGTTGAAGAATTCAAGAACTTTTACAGTTTAGATGGAGTTCTCTCAGACAATACATGCAAATATCTTCAGCTCCTCATATTTTTGGAATGAGGATTCTAGGAGATTATTTTATAATTTCTTCTTCAAGAGTTTAAGTTAAGCAGTTTCAGATGTGACTAATATCCACTGTCTGGTCACCACAGCCTGTTACGTGATCTCCAGTAAGCATGGCAATGATCATGGATCATAGTGCGGATTTATATTTGGTTCAGAATCACACTTGTCAATAGCATGGAAAAACTAGCAACTTTGGTTTCAAACGTTTGCACTTTAGAATATGCTGACATCTAATATTTGGTCAAAGCTTTTAGTCTAGACTTATATCTGTGAAGCAAAAAGTCCAGGCATGGTGGCCCACACTTTTAATCGTAGCATTCTGCAGGCAGAGGCGGGTGGATCTACGAGAGTTTGATGCCAGCCTTGTCTACAAAGCAAGTTCCAGAAAAGCTACAGCTTTTACACAAAGGAACCCCGTCTCAAAGGAAAAAAAAAAAGGGTAAGGTGAGTAAATAAAGGGGCATAGATCATCAGTCTTTTTTGTAAGAGACAGTTCTATGAGAATTCTTTTCAAGTTGCTTTTTTAATATATTTTTGAAATATTTGCTCCTTATTGTAGCTTGATAGAAGAATTGTTCTTTCTTCATTCAGTAACACTTTGTATGTATTTGGATGAAAAGCAGATATTTCACAGCCCAGGTCAGCATACAGAGATAATGAAATAGCTTTGCCATTAAAGTTTGGATTCACTTTTTCCCTAGAATGTGTTAACAGAAAACTACTTTCATTTTTATGGCTGGAGAAGAGGCAATTTATGTTGTGAAACATATTCCAAACTATTGTGGCTCTGGAGTTTCTTAAACCACTCACAACGTAGAAAGAACAATCAATATTTAAAAACAGCCACTGACTTTATCTAGTAGCCTTAAATCTTTGCTCAAGTCAGCACTATTGTTTCATTTGCTCACCAGTCTGATGCTAATAAAGTTTTGTTTTTAAAAATGTATTTATGTTATGTGTCAGGGTGTTTTGTTTGAATGCATGTCTGTGTACCATGTGTGTGCCTGGTACTCAGGGAGGTCAGAAGAGTGTGTCAAATACCCTGGGAGTGGAGTTAAAAATGTTTGTGACACATGCGGATACTGAGAATCGAACCCAAGACTTCTGTAAGAGTAGCCAGTACTCCTTAGCTACTTAGCCACTACCTGCTACTATTATTTTATTAGAAAGAAATTTTATTGAAGTTTAATTAAATTATAAAACATAAATATAACAAATATGCATATTTGTTACTGAAACTGCATAAATTTTGAGAAACTAAATAATCAGAATATGCAACAGATAGCAGCCTGAAATATCTGAAATATAAAGATCTAAAGACATAGGAATGGGCATTTCTCTGTTCTCTGGAAATGCAGAGAACAATTCCCTGGGGTATGATGAATTAGCCCACCACATAAAAGAAAGGTTAGTCTAACAGCTACATTGTTTACCTTTTACAAAGTAGGCCACTGATACTTTGTCAGGCATAAGAATATACATCACATAAATTATTGTTCTGTAGTTACTTGGTAGACCCACAGAATTTATGAAAGAAAAAGTTCCATGGAGATTACCAAGCCCAGCTTTCTCATCTTAAACTGAGAGAGGTAAGCTTGATTGATACAGTATAAAGTCAGAGAATGACAGAGGAGACACAAGCTTTCCTTTATTACTATTTATTTTCTCAACTGACATAATTTTACCCGCAACACGTCAAGCCATTTGTTTGTTAATAGGTGGTGGGTCTTTGTTTATATGTGTCATATGTACACTAAGACAGAAGAGCACTGGTTTCCAGTGATACAGTCCCTAGTTTCCCACAAGGAATAGAAACTTAAAGCACTCAGAAGAAAGCAACTACAAATTCTCTAAACTTTTATACTAATAATTTATTCTAAAGAACATTTATTTAATACAAATTAAAATAGTATGTTATATAAATATTGTATTTTCTCTGTTCTTCAGAATACACTGTATTATATATCATCATCATCATCATCATCATCATCATAATAATAATAATAATAATAAAACTGAATTTTGAGGGATGGCCATAGTTTTGAACAGTTGTATAGTAAAATGAAAAGTTTCGATCACTCAGGGAAACCATTAAAAGACTAATCCTTGATTTTTAACCAAGTTCAATTTTCCTATTTAGTATCAAGTCCTTTTATAAGACATATCTACAAAAAGACATAAGAATGACAAAACAAGTCAGTATCCTCCAACTAGGATGTGTGGGATACTGAGAAAGAAACTCCTGTGGGAAAATAGATCTGAATGAAAGGACTATTGGTCTTTCCTTGTTTGTATTAAGAAGGTTTCAAGACATGAGAATAATTGTTATTTCAATATTAAATACTGTTTATTCTTTTTATTACTTAACCTCTGCACCTTTACAGTATGTATGCAAACTATACAATTATCTATATCAACTTTATAATATCATAGCTTCAGAATTAATTTGTATACTCTTTAGGAAGTTTTTTGACTCTTAAATTCGCATTGAGAGAACTCTGATACATACTTCACAAGTAAAGACAATATTCCTTTACAAATCTCCTAACTTTTACATACTATGTATAGTTCTACTTCAATAGAGTTACGAATATTTTACCATTTAAAAGGACTCCTTAAAAAAAACACCAGAAATCAAATGAGAGTTTCTAGTGAAGTTCAGAAGACATCTAATTCTCTCTGCAGTGTTAACACAGTATTAGCAATAATACTATCAATACACAAAAAAATTCAAGGAAAAATAATCTGTCCATGCATAATAAGACAGGTTTGAATACAAGTAATAAGGGAAAAAGAATACTGAATATTTTCATAGAGGTTAGCAATCTTTAGAAGAAACAAGTACAAGTTATAACTTGAGTGGTGAATATTTATGCTCCTGACACAAACAAATTTAGAGTAGAGTAGACATCATCACAAAACCCAGAACCAATACCCTGGACATAAGAGTGTAAAGAAGGACCACACCTCTGGCATAAAATAAGATGTAACCAGTCCCTACTAAGAGAGAGGAACTCTGACGGCGTTCCATAAATGCTTGAGGTCTTAAAGAGAAGAAAAAACATAAAATCCAGCACATCAAAATGGGACGTCCCAGCCATAACCATCAGGTAAAATTACAGTAATGCACACAGAAGACAAATCAAGTTACTTGGTTCATGAAAATACACAAATTAAGTAAAATTTAAAGATATTGAGCATTTCCAAAATTTAGACTATTTTCTCACATTGAAACTACTAAATATTTTCCTCAGAAAGAGCCACAATATGCATTCTACAAAGTTCCATTAAAATTACTGTAATAAAACCTGCTTTCCATCCCCACCTCCTCCTTCCAATGGGTTATAAATGTAGGTTTCTGGTAACCTACATCAGAGTGACACACTTATTTTAATTTGATGTTTGCTATTTGTAAAAGTAATTATATTTATGGCACATTGTGGCAGCCTTCCTGGGAGGATTAGATTAGGTAAAGATGCAAAGACTTCGGTAATGTTCTTTAGGTTTATTGAAGTTTAAAACTTAAGAGTGAGGATACTACAGCAATACTGTCAAACACCGGCATGAGATGCTTTTCAAAACTGCGCTGCCAACTTTTGAGAAACAAATGTCTGGCTGAACACAAACATAGCTCAAATATGTTCTGAGTGGCAATAAAATGATAATCAAAATTTACTCAGACACTCAGAAACACACTCTTCCATAGAATGATACAGGCAAGAACACACCTTGCTTTTAGAGGGAGAGATGATTGTTCAGGAGAGACGATAAGCCTCTAATGAACAAAAATATCAACACTTGCAAAGCCATGCTTGTTTAGAACCCGGGTTAAAATCCGTCACATGAGTTGGAAACTCATTTCTCCCGAGAGTATCCCTTAGATTGTAAAACAGATAACATCAACACCCTCGCAGTAAACCCTACATGAAAGCTTGTTCCTCAGTGTCCAATCTTAAGCCATAAGAATTAAAAATGCATATTCAATTCTCTCTGGAGAGTGCATTTGCATACAAGATACAAGTGCACCCCACATATACACAAATAAAATTTGCTGTTATGATTAAAGGAGGATAATATATTAAAGAACTCTAACAAAATCAATAGGGACAGGATACTCCAAGTATAAGCTGACACATATTATCAACCCTTTATTTTCTCAGTTTTGATTCTAGATTGAGAGTACTACTCATAGTGTTGGAGCATTCTTTTGCTGTGAAAACATCACCAACTTGCCAAAAGTTTATTTTGTTAATCTTCCTCACCCTGAGAATCCTGCTTTTCTGCATGCCCATCCCAGAAATCACATTTCTCTCTTCTCATTTCAGGTGCCTCTCACATTCGCTTAAAGAATTTTTTTAATTGAAAAACAGGATTTTAACAAGTGACTGAAAAGCACTCCCTTACCTTCTAAACCTGCTTCAATCAGCCCAAACTGTTCCAATAATTTAACAAAAAGCACAATGACGATCAGAACTGCTATCATTTCAAGCCCCTCCAAGTTCATGGTCAGCTAGGTCATGGTCCAGCCACAGCCACTGAGAAGCGCTCCTCACCCTGGCTTTCTTTGTAAAGCCATTAAACTACATTAAGAAGGCTACAGCTGGAGAAGGGAGGAGGAGAGCAGGGAGAGAGGAGGGAGAGGGAAAGCAGAGAGAGAGAGAGAGAGAGAGAGAGAGAGAGAGAGAGAGAGAGAGAGAGCTAGTCATCCTTTTTGCTGTATCCAAGGCCAGAAGTGGCAGCCTGATAAAGTCGAGCCTCTCAGAATTATCAGCGTCCTTGTTATCACTCTCCCACAAGGAGACAGCCATGCGTGAAGTAGTAGCACTCAGATCGCGGAAAACCAAGGAGGTCTCCAGGAAGGTCCGGAGCAAGCCTGGCGGGCAGCACAAGCAGCGCGGGCCCCCAGGACTCCACACCTCACCCGCCAGTGGAATCTCCGGGTTGGGCAGTTGCCTTGGAAACACTGGAAGCGAAGCTGGACTCCCGCTGCAGACAGGACCTGAGCAGCACCTTGTCATGAGAAGCCAGGAAAAAGAAAAACCTCGATCGCCCACAGGCAGTGGCAGTTTGCTTTCAGCAGTTTCTGAACCTGTTTACTCTTCAGATGAAACAAAATGTGTATATTTTATCCGAAGGAGGCAGAGAGAAATGGAATGAAGCTTTCCTCCCGGTGTGGTTCGTTATGGCTCTGTTCTTTTCAATGAGTTGCTTTACTGTAATGCTCCAGTGTCTTACTCATTTTGAACTAATATTCAGTTTGAGTAGGGACTAGTATTTCAAAGTTTGAAATGCTCATAAGTATACTTAATTAACTAACATTTTAGAGTTTAGCAGTTACCTCCTTTCTCACTGGCTTCACTTCCAACATACCATATATGCATTTAGCATTATTTATCTTGCAAGCTTTCTGAAAATATTTGATATCAATTAGATGCCATGAAAAGTTTGAGAAGGAAAAAAAAATGAAGCAAACATTTCTTGGAGTTTCTATATTTTGTACACCCCCCTCCCGATACTACAGTATAGTGAACCCAGAACCAAGAGCTGAACTGGAGCAAAACAAAACTCATGAAAACAAACAACAGAACCCAGAACAGAAATTAGCTCAAAGATCCCTGTCAAGTCTCTTACTGTGCAGATGAGCAATCTGAGGACCAAAGAAGACAAGAGACTAAGGGACATAGAAAAGTGCACTAGGGTGATAATGGAATACAAACTCCAGAGCCAACTAACCTGGATTCAGATTTAAAACCTCCTAGGTCTTGTAGACATTACTTCATAATGTCCCGCCTCATCATCTAAATGTGTAAACAGGGACCTGATAACAAGACCAAGATCATGAGCATGTTTTGAAAATTATCTAAAAACATTTACAAAGCAAAGGAATCTGCTCAGCAGTAGTAGCTCCCATCTTGGCCCAGATAGCCCATGCTTTGTTTATATTTCTGAATGTGGTTAGGATCATTCACGTTTCTGTGTGCAGCCTCTTGGTGGTGTCTTAACACTCAGGTGCCAGCCTGGGGTTTGCCCTTCATTGTTTTCTTTTTTTATTTCTGTTTATTTATTTATTACAATTTATTCATTTTCATTCAGACTATCTACATGATAGCTTTGTTCCTTCTCCAAAATGTGTCCTGGGCTTGTACATCCCGGGGTCTTTGTTTATTCCATTCTGTCCATTTGTTGTGGAGAAAGAACGGCATAAAAGAAAACAAAAAAAAATATAACACAAAACAAAACAAAATCAGGCTGTTTGTCAACTTCCTCAGATTGTTTAATGAAAGCTCTAGTATCAGCAGAGGATGCACTTTTCCTCATGTGTGACTGCTGTTACTTTTGCTGCTTATGTTAATTAGTTGACACTGTCAAGCCTCAGTATGCTGTATTATAGCTACTTGGATGCACATTCTTCCCAACAAAAGATGGATTTTGAGGGGACACGAATCCCGACTTTATTGCCTGAGTTCCAAAAATGTTTCCACCTGCTACAGTTCATACTAGGGGCCGACGTCTCACTTCATCGATGTTTATTAGATTATTGTAGTTGCCATATATCTACTGCATAGTGGATGCTTTAGAAACATTACTTTCTGCTAGCCACTTTGAAAGTAGGTATAATTACGTAGCATTATCAAGGAACCATGAAGCCTCAGAGAAGTTAATAAGCAGCAGGCTTAAGGTCATAACCCTTGTAAATGACATGACCAAGAGTCAAATTCTGGTTCATTTATTTCAGACTGTTATGTAGTCCTGTTATTCCACACCCTTTTAAATGAATTAGAAATTCAGGTATCAGCACAAGTTCTTATTTGCCTTCATTGAAGGTTATATTCAAAATGACCCTTCCAAACTGTTTGGTGACATTCTAATTAATCTATTAACTCCAGTAACTTCAGAAGTCAAAATGTTATTGAACTAGTAGTTAAATTCATGGATCTTGCTTCCTGGTGACTTGCAGGAGTATTGTTACTTAACCATGCATCCTTTGTGGCTGCTAAAAGAAATTTTTGGTGTCTGCTACAGTGAACTCTGTAAAGTTCCTTTGATTCCCCCCTAGACAGAAGTCATTGGTTAGTTCCTATGTGATTTTCTACACAGATGATATTCTTAGTTTGAGAAATATTTGTATGCAGGGAGCTTGTGTAAAGTTCCAGAGTGGGGAAGGCTGTTATGCTCAGTCTGAGTGTCATGATAAAAACAAAAACAAAAACAAAAAAAACAAAAACAAAACAAAAAAAAACCTTTATGCTTTATTGACTTTCCCAGATTTTTCCAGTTTTCAACTCTTACAATAGACCTCAATTGACTTTTCCAGATTTTTCCAGTTTTCAACTCTTACATAGACCTCATGATCTCAACCCTTTGTATTCAATGCTGCTTCTGCCAGAATGTTTACTCCAGATCTCCTCTTCACTAACAGACTTTGTTTGGGATTTGACGCCAAAATTCCCTTCAGAGAATGGATGCCTATCCTATCCATACCACATGATTCAGTATGCCTGTTCCTGGTGCTGGAGTCATGACCATCTATCTGAGTTAGTGTCACTTTCATCTCAGTAATTGTCAAAAGGAAACATGCATGCTTGTTTACTTATCAAATATCACTACTGCAATCGCTAGAGCATCACTTGCTGTTGATAAAGGTGGAGATGTCTACCTATTGCATTCCCCAGGTGCCATCACATGGAGATTAGTGGCTGGCGTTGAAAAGGCTTGGGTACTGTACAGTGAGGTAGCTGGCTAACACTGTTGTCTTTCCTAAGAAGCCATCTGCTCTCTCACTGACCTGGTACAGGCAAGTTTCATACCATGTAGGGTACTGAGGGACCTGCGGACCTTGTGAGTTTTCTGTTCCTCTTACAAGGATTTCTTACGCCAAGGCAGACACATCAAGGCAAATCCCATGACTTTTCTTTATTTTAAGCCTCGAGCAATACAAGCTGGAGTATCTTTACTATGTTCTGTCCCAAAAGTTTAATATGAATATGATTTGTGGTTTTGCCAATATGACCAATGAAAGCAATATCAAGAATGAGTTCAAGGAAGTCTCCCTATCTACCATATCCCCCTGTCCAATTTGAAAATCATTGCTACAGAAGGTGAGAAGTAGCTTGGAAAAGATTCGTTCCTGTCTTTAATTTTCAGCCAGAAGAACACTGATGTATAAATAGGAAAAGTGGCTTTGCTATTTGCGTAATTCATAGCTTTAAGTTACCCAGCCTGAATTCGAACTAACACAGTAATTATCTTAGATTCCTGTATTCCTCCCTGCAACACCTTTTATAAAGAGAAACATTAGTGCATTGAATGGACATAGAGGAAATATTGACTGCATTCAAGGCAGAGCCGATATTTGTCCTCCCCAGAGGAAGGAGTGAAAAGACAAGCACGACAATATTTGCAAATGATACTTAATCTGTGTGGATCTAGGATTTGCTCAACTATAGGCTAAGCATGTACACTGGCCCATCCTTGAATCATTTTGTGAAGGATAAGATCTTCACTGTGATCTTGTAAGAAAAGAGAAGACCCTTTGGAAGAGTGAGTGAATTTTTCCAAGTCAGAATCCAGTGAAGCTGATGGCTTGGTACTTAGAGTCACTATGTTTCTGCTTAACTCCTAAAAACATCCAGCCAGACATGAAGCATGCAATAAACAAATATCAACAGAGTTAAGGAGCCAACATTTTATTGTGGCCTTTTAAAGGATCCCTTGCAATTTTTGAATTAGAAAGTTTTCAGACATGATTTCCAAAGTGGTTCTATATGTTTGCACTCCCACCAGCAATGGAGGAGGGTTCCCCTTTCTCCACATCCTCTCCAGCATGTGTTGTCTTTTGGGTTTTTTATCTTAGCCATTCTGATGGATGTGAAATGTAATCTCAGAGTTGTTTTGATTTGCATTTCCCTGATGGCTAAGGACTTTGCAATTTCTTTAAGTGTTTCTCTGCCATTACATATTCCTGTTTTGTGAATTCTCTGTTTAGATTTGTACCGCATTTTAATTGAATTATTTGGATAGTTGGTGTCTATCTTCTTGAGTTCTTTATATATTCTGGATATTAGCCTTCTATCAGATGTAGGGTTGGTGAACATCTTTTCCCATTCAGTAGGCTGTTTTGTTCTGTTTTCTGTAAGGCTCCACCCAACAGGGCATTGAAGCAGATTGTATGACTCACAGCCAAACTTTGGGCAGAGCACAGGGAGTCTTATGGAAGAAGGGGGCTGGAGAAGGGATTAGAAAGATATGGAGGGGACAGGAGCTGCACAAGGAGACCAAAAAAAAAGGTAAAATATCTGAGCCCAGTGGGTCCTGCACAGACTGATGCACCAACCGAGGACCATGCATGGAGAGGACCTATACCCCCTGCTCATATGTAGCCGATTGATAGCTCAGTCTCCATGTGGGTACCCAAGTAAGGGGAGCAGGGACTGCTTCTATCATGAACTCTGCTCTTTGATCACTTTCCCCTGGCGATGTGGTCTTGCCAGGCCACAGAGGAAGAGGATCCAGGCAGTCCTGATGAGACTTTAGAAACTATGGGCAGATGGCAGAGTAAGAGAACTCCCTATTTCAGAGGACTAGGGGAAGGGATGGAGGAAAGAATGGAAGGGATGGTAGGACTGGAAGGAGTTG